TAGTACGTTAGTAGTTAGTAGTTAGTTAAGTACTACTTAGTAGGTAAGGGTAGGTTACGTTACTATTCTACCCACCTACTACGTAGTACGTATATACATATATATATATATATATATATATATATATATATATATATAGTATATATAGTATGCCATGATAAGGTTCAATCAGTGGATGGACTTCGAAAATTTCTGCCCCCAGCCCCCAGTATTGGAGAGGGGGATTCCTTTGTCAGACGGGAAGAAGAAACTCAATTTTGGAGGTAGTTCAAGACTGAACCTCGGGCTAGCTATTTGTGAATCAGTTTTTGGAAGGTTTGTGGTGCTAGCCAACTGGGACTTTGCTAGTCCTTCTGGGTATCTGCCTCCAGCTCAGCGTAATTCATGGTTCTTCTTCACATCCTTTGGATGCATTGTTCAATTGATTTCTTCATTTCAGGTCCCTTTTAAATTCCAATGCTCTTTGAAATAGCATTCTACCTACGGCTAATTTTGCATTCTACATGAGAAGACAGCTATTTATTTCTTATTCAGAAAATAAGATATAGACAACTAGCAACTCTGTGTTCTATGTTTGATTGACAGAAAAATGTTGTGGGGAGCCTCTGTATCTGAGTCTGGGATTGCTAATTGACATAATACCCTACATTTCTGCATACTTGTAATGTAAATGTTTGTTAGTGGGTGTTGTCCCACCCTAAGGGCCCATAATTTATGTGAAATTTTGTCAATCAAATGTTTATAAAAAACTCATTCAAGCATAATAAACTAACAATGTGTTTGATGTAATACTTAAATTGCACGTTGTAATGATTGAATTGAGAAACATTCTATAGCGCTCTGTTTTATTTGTCTGATCAACAATTATTGAGCACTTTATGGATCTGTGCTTCTGTGGAATAAATAAGAGTGATCGTGATAATTCTTGGCCTTTCTATTAACATACGCTAGATATCACTTTTTTATGAGGAATTAATTCCTTGCCCTTTTTTGAAGTATAATAAATGTTCTCTCTCCATTATGCAAGAAAAACTAATTTTTTGCCACTTACTGACCTCTACAGTCGTGGTGATACGCAAGAATACTCTGATCTGAATAAGCTTGCGAAGCGCTTCCTTAAAGTCGGTCAGGATGCTTTAATTGGGGAAAACGATGTGGCACCTTCAAGAGCGTATATTCAAGAGGTTGTAGAAGATCTGCGTAAGGGCGAAAAGGGAGAATGCCCAATTTGTCTAGAAGTTTTTGAAGATTCAGTTTTAACTCCTTGTGCTCATCGTTTGTGCCGGGAATGCCTCCTTGCAAGCTGGCGAAATGCTAACTCTGGTATTTGTCCTGTATGCAGGTAGTGTTGGTAGTTTTCATTCCTTTCCTTTTCCCATTATATAAAAGATTATAATAGTTCCTGAAATATTTGTGCACATTGGTTTTTGAATGCAACAATTGGCTCAAAGAAATATGTTCTTCACAAATGCAGGAAAATTCTAAGCAGGCAGGATCTTATCACTGTTCCATCTGAGAGTCGATTTCAGATTGATGTTGATAAAAACTGGGTAGAATCATCCAAGGTTTCTGTTCTTCTCCAGCAACTGGAAATCTTGCGCTCATTGGGCTCCAAGAGCATTGTTATCAGTCAATGGACGGCATTCCTGGATCTTCTGCAGATTCCTCTTTCTAGGTACTATTATCATCAACTTGCTTATGGTATTGATGCTTTTTCTAAATCTTGACTTCTTCAAGAAGATATCGAGCATTTGGATGTGGGCTTTCTTTAGATTCATTTAACTAGTCTCTCTCTATGAAAATGTTACACGATGGAGAAGAAGAGGAAGGAGGGTGAGACTGGATGAAGAAGTTTGCTTATCCAGCCACACTCTTATGTGTGGCCCCATTATATACATACATATACATACACTTGTAGATATACATGTAAATATACATGTAGTTAATACATATACATATGAATATGTATATGTATGTACATATACATGTACACACACACACACACACCCACACGCACATATATATATATATATATATTAGAGTCAAGAGTACTTTAATCTTACTTAACGTACATGAGATATAACAATGCGTGCGCATTAGACGAAATAAACAACAAAATATTACAACTATGCCAATGTATAAAACACAAATATTAAGTCACACTGTTAATAGTGCCCCCCACAAGCTGTGTCGTGGCTTATACCGATGGATCTTGCTTCGAGATCTTCGTCTTGAGTTTTTTTCTCTCATAAAGTGCTGATCAATCTCAATTTGCTTCATCTTCCCATGATTTACCTAATCAAAAGAAATCAGAATGGCACTGCAGTTTTCACAATGAAACAATGATCTAGAGATGTTCTGGCCACGTGCAGTTAGCAGATGGATTGAATCCATGAAACTTTAGCAGTAACTGCTGCCATAGACTTGATCTAGGTACGGTTCATTGTTGTCCGTACTCTGTGAAACCAAATTCCATCCCAAAAACACACTATAAAGAGTTCTGATCTGCTTTAGAGTAGGCAATGACAATGAGAGGATTAAAGGAAGTGTCTCCTCGGGCATATACTAAGGCCATACATAGTAGTTGCCTTAATATATTGAGGTATGCAATGCATCCAAATGAGTAGAATATGGTGCATGCATAAACTAGGAGACGTGATTCAATACAAAATCAATGTACAATGCGTGAATGTCACGTACTGGAGAGCACCAACAACAATGCATTATTGTGGCGGAGCAGAAATGGGTTCATCCTCTTTTTCTTCAAGTCTCTGATAAATAGGTGCAGACATGTCGGGTTTTCAATTCTTCATGTCACAGTGAGAAAGCCAGTGTGTGCATACTTATGCTGGGAAAAGTTCATCAACAGTTTTCTCCGCTTCAACACCATGTTCTTCGCTTCAACACCAAGGAAATACACTTTAGTAACCCAAATGTTTCTTTGGAAAATTTGAGTTTAATAACTCTTTTATGGTTTGGATGTGATCATGCAAGCTGCCAGTAAGTACAATATGGAGTGTGTACTTTGTTCCCCTGGGAGCATACTTTTTACTTGCTCGGGTGAAAGAGCTACGAGGGATGATTTTTTGATTTAAAATTTTGGAATCCACTTAAGAATCACGAGAGGATGATTATTTTCAAAAGTAGAAGTTGAATCTTTGAGTTCTTCAATGCTTAGATCAGGCTTTCCATGTATTGGACGCTGGAATGTGTACTGGAAAGTCTACATTGAATTTTAAGACGTCATTTACAGAGGGTGGGTTTAAATTTTTTTTTTTCTTGACGTTGGTTGCCAGTTTGAAGAAGATACATCCCTAAATTTGGGGTCCTAAAAATACTCACTGTACTAAGATTTACTCAGGAGTAAATAGACAGTGTGCTCTCTCAGGAGCATGAAATCTTTTGACTTAACAATGTCATTGGCACAGAGAAGCAAACTTGTGAATCCATGCTCACTGGTACTGGTACCGATGGACAATGGATAGTCCACTTGAAAATGTTTAAAACCATGATATATATTATTTCCTTGCAAAACTCTCAAACTGCGCTGGGGATGTCTGCTTAAGGCCATAAAATTGCCTTGCTAGTCGGGATACCTTGAGTTTTGGGTTGTCTACGCTGTACCCAGGATCCCCAAAAGGAATGCATTTTTAATGTCCAGTTGCTGACAATCTCAACCTTGAGTGATTGTTAAGGAGATAGAAGTGGCACAGTGCAAATTGTTCCCATTTTACCTACTAGGTTGAATGTTCCATCATAATCCAAGCCCTCTTATTGAGTATACCTTCTTACCATCAAGCGAGTTTTAAAGTGCTCAATGCTACCACCAGCCTTGTACTTGATTTATGGACCTAGTTACAGCCTATCATATTCTTATTTGAGGATCTATGACAATATCCCAGGGGAGTCACTCATGTTACGCTCTTGTCTCCTTTCATTGCTTCAACCCAGCAAATTCATTCTTGCAATTTTGAAACTGGAAGGGTCCGCATGTTTCTGAATTTCTATCGAGAAGATTTGGTGCTGGACAAAAAAAACTATCATAGCTTACCCATTTATTTATTGGGTGCCTCACACCCATAGATCTTTGAACTGGAACATGTGTTGAAGTGAGAGGTGGCTGATACATGCTTGGTTGGAATTCGTGAGCTGCTGTGCTGTGCATGGGCTGCGACTGAACTTCAGTGAGGTGATGCCTGTGTCAATATGTAATGGCAGGATCAACCTAACAGGCAGACGGACCACTGCTGTCACTATTTTATGCATGTTGTGAGGAGTTGGCAGATGATTACCATCACTCTTGCAATCATGCAGCGAGAAAGATTACTACTGCCACCATTATTACAGATATTTTCTTTGTTCCCACTAGCATCAATCACGCCATCATAACTGCTGCTAAAACACCTGTTCTTGTCATTAATGCGCATGCATGGTTGCTCTGACCATCGTGATTATCATCACTGACAATGCCTTCAATGGTGTTTGAATTGGAGTGATTTTTGCTAGCATTATTATCAAGGTGAGTACAGAAAGGTGTGCAATTTGAGGTAGGGTTGCTGCCACATGATTGTCCTTCATCGCCACAGGCAATAGAAATGAACTCCTGCAACATAGAAGTACCTTGCTGATTGGGAATTCCAACAGCTTGCGCACCATGATTAGACAGTCCAGAATGCATAGCAAAGCATCTCTTGGCAATTATTGTTAGAATTTGTGGGAGCATAGAATGGAGAGAGAAGAAGAGAACACAACATTTACGTGGTTCAGGCCGAAGCCTTACGTTCACGGATTCAAAGGCCAACTGGCTACATATTTACTATTTTGGATGAATCTTTACATCAATAAGTACCTCTATATATAGAGGACAATCACACAATTAGAAGAGATAATTATGGTATGATAACTTGTTGACCAAATAACTTGGTCTCTATCTTCTAGATACCTAACCTTATCAAAAGATATATACATATACATCCCTAGTGATGTATATCAATATGAACCCAAGATGTCCATATCCCAACACTCCCCCTCAAACTCAAGATGCTTTGATACAAAGCAGCTCGAGTTTGAACAATACTAAGTTGCTAAAAATAAAATAAAAATCACATGTTACCATGGTCTTCCAAGAAACAACCTTTCTTGGGCTAGAGAGAGAGTTTCTTGGGCTCGAGACTTTCTCTCTCTAGGGTCTTCCAAAAAACAACCTTTCTTGGGCTCTCTACTTTCTTATCTGAAGATCTTCTCTCTTGAGAGGCTTCTCTGAAGATCTCTCTCTTCAGAGGCTTCTCTGAAGATGTCTTTCTTTAGAGGCTCGAGACTTTCTCTCTCTAGGGTCTTCCAAAAAACAACCTTTCTTGGGCTCTTTACTTTCTTCTCTGAAGATCTTCTTTCTTCAGAGGCTTCTCTGAAGATCTCTCTCTTCATAGGCGTCTTTTTTTTCTAAAGGTTTTCTCTCTCTAAAAGAAAAGGATTTTTCTTTCTCTCTCTTCGGAACATCTGAGATTGAGTAACGAAAAAATCGACGATCATCACACAGGATGGAGCAACGGAAAACTCCATCATCAAACAAGATCAAGGAACGAAATACTTGATCATCAATCAGGATTGAGAAATTTGATCATCTTCATCTCCTCATTTGGATATGGAACTTTTGATCATCGACTTCGATCGAGAAATTCGATCATCTTCATCTCCTCATCTGGAGACTGGAACTCTGGAATCAATATGACCATAACTTCCCTTTGCATAATAGTTGGACTGAGCCAGAATCTGGATTTTCTTTAGCGGTTACATTAGAGATATTGACTTCATCTCTATTCTTCTCATCTCCATATCTCCTATACTCTCCCCCTTAAGTTGGGTGTGGATGCGAAATAACACCCAACTTGCAAAATATAATTTTTTTTTTTTTTTCTCTTTTGAGTACAATCATATCAAAAAAATGTCAATGAAATTGAGCTTCTAGACAATAGTGCACATCGTAAAAAAATATGACCCCTTTTATTTTATTTTATAACAACCCCAAAACGAAGAGACTTTTGGAGAACTGGTCAAGGAAGTGCTTCGGTATGGACAATCTCTTCAATGCTTTAGGTAGTAAATCAAGTCCCTCACGACAAATCCAATGAGGGCAACCAGGTTCCTGGGGGCCATAATGTTGCTTGAACTCTTCATGCATTGAAACAAACTCCTCCATCATTAATTGTCCAAGCTTTGCAACAGGCATTGTTGCCATAAACCTTGCCCGAGAACCTCTTGTCGTGTGTTAGGAAGGGCAAACCAAGCATGCCTGAGGGGCTCGATACTAAAACCACATTGATCATTGAAATACCCCATTGGTGCAAACAAGCAGTTTTATACCAGGGTTCAGCACACATTAATTCGCTTCCTCTCAAAACTTCGAAAGCGTCATTAGAATCCGTAGTTTCATCAAATTTAACTTCTTCACTATTGATCTTTCTCCTCTTGCATAGCTTCGAAAGTTTCCCAGGAGATGAATCGTCTGAAGTGGGCGATCGACTGATATTGATAAGGGAAAACACGTTAGTTGCTTTGATACCATGTTAGAATTTGTGGGAGTATAGAATGGAGAGAGAAGAAGAGAGAACACAATATTTACGTGGTTCAGGCCGAAGCCTTACGTCCACGGATCCAAAGCCCAACTGGCTACATATT